ATAAAATTATGTTCAAAACAACTAAATTACTGTAACTCCTCTGTTTTGTCTTCAAAAGGTGAAACAAGGTTGTTGTGTTGCTTTTTTTAAGGATAACACATTTACTGCACATTTTTAGGGATATTTTGCTGGACGATAAATTGTACCAGAAGTTATCGTGATACACAGTAATAATGTTGTTTTGAGACATTAGAGTAATATATCTCTAATGGTGTAATAATAATTCAGGGACACATTCTTAAAGATCAACAAACTTTAAATTTTAATGAACATTCAATACTGGAACTGGAAGACATTTTAAATATACAAACTAAATTAACAAAACAACAAATAAAATTAACTATGAAGTTTCTGTAAACAAAATTGTCGTTCAAAAAACGAAACTAGTTGAGACTAAAGCACCAGACTGAAGACTTGTTTCTTTGGTAGAAAGAGAGAAAATTGATAAATCATGAATATTATTAAACTCCTTTTATATATTGATTAATTTATTGCAACAAGCCTAATTGTGCTTTGTTGGCTCTCTTTCCGACTGCATTAAAACTACACCAGATTCTGTGAATATTCTCAGCGACATTCTGAATCACTGAGATGCATCTGTGTTTGACAAGTAAACCATTGTTATAAACCTCAGGATTTAGTGTTTTGAATCACACTAACAGTGAACACCTTTTGCTGCAGATGTGCAGCAGCTGTGCAGTAGATCCAGCTAATAATGTTTACTTCTTACAGGCTTCAGGGCAACCATCAGCGCTCCACACATGGTAAGGCCGACTGGAAACACTTCAGATACAATAGACAGAGAGAGAGTTGATCATTTATTATCATAAAAAAACAAAATGAAGCAGAAGTGTTTGTTGCTGGTTTCATTTTGCAGCATGCTCATGCTTTGGAGCTGCTGAGCGACAAGCTAGTCGAAGGAGCGTCTGCGCTGGATGTAGGCTCGGGAAGTGGATATTTAACCGCCTGTTTTGCAAGAATGGTACGTCTAATACGTGCGTACGTGAGTCTGATCCGGAAGTGATCCGCGCCATCTTAGGAGGCAAGTGCAGCACAAAGCATAGCAGACCCATGGCTTCGAGAGCAATGAAAAGAAAACATGTGGATACTCTTGACCCATTGCGAGAGAATGATATAATCAATGCTTAAACGGATTTGTAAAGGACGTATAAACCCTTCATTGTGGTGACCGGCAGAGTAAGTACATAAATACATAGGCAACATGTCCGTCTTAGCTAGCGGAAAAAAGCTACATTAGCTAAGCTAATTTTGCTAATTTGGCAGTAGGTACTACAGTAAATATCACTGATATTTATCTTAGTATTACAGGGAGGTGGGTAGAGCACTCAAAAATTGTAATCTAGTAATAGTTGTAATGAACTTATAATGTTTATAAGTTAGATAGGTGAGCGCTAGTTCTAAGCCTGTGAGGGGTTTTTGTTGTCATAGCAACTCCATAGCAGCTACCTGCCAAAATGGCACTCAGTTACAAAGTACCCAGTAGACCTAAACTATTTACTGCACAAATGTAATCAAGTTGATTGATGCCATTTTTTTTTCAGACAAAATGTGGACAGGCTGGTTGACATTTCATGACCTCTGAAACATTTATTACAAAACTTTATGCTGCACAAATATCTGACACCAACTTTGTTAGATTTATAGAAGGTGGAGAGGGTATAACACTCAGATTTCTGCTGCACATTGGTCAAAAATGTCAATATAATTGATTTATGTTGGACTGGAAGACATGGTTCATCTATTCTTTGCCTACTAAGATGGTGCAGAGCACTTCCTGTTCAGACTTGTGGAAACTCTGTATAGTGGTTTTTATTTATTCCTAATGATTAGCAGAGGATGTACAGATTAACTACTGGTTTTTGTTTTTGTTTACTGAGCAGACGGGACTCACTGGTAGAGTTGTTGGCATCGAACACATTGAAGAACTCGTTCAGAAGTCAATAAAAAATGTGCAAAGTGACGACCCAGAACTGCTGTCGTCTGGACGCATTAGACTTGTTGGTGAGTCAGGGAACTTTCAATACTTTGATATGATTATTTTTAAATATTCCTAATTGAAATGTGCTGCAGGAAGTGACTAGAGTTGCTGTTAAAACTCCATCTGATTGTAGTTGGGGATGGAAGACTTGGATATCCAGATGGAGCGCCGTACGACGCCATTCATGTTGGTGCAGCTGCAGCGACGGTTCCCAAAGCTGTAAGTTCATATTAGCTTAACTCTCAGCAGAGCTGAATCATTTATTCTACCATAAGTTAGATTTTGTCTGTATTTTCAAATCTGATTCTCACATTATCAGGTTGTTTTACAGAAATATGTCCTCCCATGATCCGTTAATCCACCTGTCTGTTTCAGGATAATTAAAGAGTGTCTGAAAGTTCATATTTGAGCCATTTTGGTTTTCTGTTAACTGAAGCTGTTGGAGCAGCTGAAGCCAGGCGGGCGTCTGGTTCTTCCAGTCGGACCCGAAGGTGGCAGTCAGGTGCTGGAGCAGTACGACCGACAAAGTGACGGGACCTTCCTGAAGAGGGCGCTGATGGGCGTGGTTTACGTCCCACTAACCGACAAGAGGCGTCAGTGGCCGGGGTGAGAAAACGGCTCAAACTTCTCCATAAACGTTTCCTCAACCTTCTGATTTTAGATGGCCATCAGTTCTGTGGAGGAAAATTTTATTAAAAGATCATTCAGTTTTTCATCACAATTATTTTGTCTATAAGAAAATATGTAACATTTTATATTAATGACATCAAATTTTATTTTATTCCCACAGTTCTTATGGTTTCTGTTCAGTTTTTTGTATTTTTTTCTATTTGAATTTAATATATCTAATTTAATTTATCTTATGTAACTTAATTCATTATATCTAATTAAATTTATCTAACTTAACCTACCTCATCTATTTTAATTTAATTGATCTAATTTAATATATCTAATCTATTTTATCTGATCTATTTATCTCCACTAACTTGCAGCCAATTAGAAAATGAGCATCACAAATTTAAATTAATTATCTTTACTTATTTTATTATTTTTTAAATGATTGAATAACAGGAAATAAAAATTATGATGGAATTTTTTTTTTATTATGGCATTCCTTTTTTTTCTGGTCTTCCGTCCAATTTTCTGAGGCCCTCACAGGCGCCCCCTGGTGGCCCACTGCCTTCAGTAACTTCAATCTGCTGTGTTTTCTTCTGCCTGCAGAGACGAACTCTGACTGCAGTGCTGCTGATCCGCCAGCAGGTGGCGGTGGTGCTGCATCTCTGGGGAACCATAACAGTTCCTGTTATTTACCTTCCGCTCCGGTGGCACCGCAGCGGGAGGGCAGTACGGATTGACTAACTCAATAAATGACTGAATAACAGACCTGAGGTTTACTGATTAACCTTTTTCCAGAGTTCTTGGACGAAGCAAAGCAGCAGCGAGGATGAGAAAGGAGAGATTTTTAATAGGGAGAAAACTGTAACCTCTACACTGCAAAAACAAAAAATATTTAAAAGTGTTTATAGTCAAGTTTCTAGTACAAATATCTTAGTACACTTGAAATAAGACAGAACAAACTTTAAAGTAACATTTAGGAGGTTTCTTTACGTAAATGATTCCTTAATATTGATTAAGTGAAATAATCTAGCAGTTGAACTAGTACTTTTTTCTTTAATATTAAGGAATTATTCATTCCTTAATATTAATTAAGCTGCTAAAGGTTGCTGAGAAGTTACTTGTTAGTTAGTTTTGTCATATATTTACACTAAAAATTAGACCAAAAATACTTGGTGTTTTTGCAGTGTAGAAAAACAACAATTACGGAGCATAAGCCATTATTCTGTAATTAAAACACTTTGCTTATTGAATTAATTTATATTTGGCATAAAGAAGGCTTTGTCTTCTGAGAATGGTGTGCCAAAACCTGAGGAATATTTTTAACAACAGAAATATTGTATGAAGTGTGTAAATCTTGTTTCTTAATAAATCACATTAGAAAATTACTTGTTGCACTTTGATTTATTTTAAGTTGAAACATTGCCATCCATGTGTTTTTTTTTTTGTTTTTAATCAAAGGAGTAACATTTTTCCTGGACGTTTTTCTAAACAGAAAAAAGGAGTTCTCGCTGCGTCTATCGACAAACACTTAAAAGATAATAATAATAACCAAAAACCTTGATATATTTTTTTCAGGAAATTGTTTTCTAAACTTTTATTTATTTACATAGTGAAAAATATTTTAACTCCTTACAACATCCCACACATGTATCAAACTGAAGCACATTGCATTAGTGTTTATTTAAAAAATGTATTTATCTTTTAATTCATATTTTTTCTGTAATTTCTAAGCACTTTTTTGCATACAACTTAGAAGGAGTTTAAAATTTTACATCGTCAGTGTAGTTCTATTAAATCATAAAATTTTAAGATATGCAATGTAATCAATATTTAATTAAGATGACGATCTGATGCATTTATAATTTAAATAACTTTCTTCTGAGGCGTGTAGACAGTTTTTGTGTTAGTTTTTAATAAGAGTTTCCCCAGATCATCACGCCATAATTTATGTATTTAAAAAAACTGATTGTTATTGTTCTTTTGACAATACTTAATTTGATTTAATATTGCTAACATTTCCATTGCAGCACTCCCAAAAATCAGATTTCATACACTTTCTATTTCAATATTGTTTATCATGTGTTTAACATATTTTTTTATTTGTATGCTACTAAATATTACAATTTTGTCTTACCATTATTAGGGTAACTTAATAATAATAACTTCAAACTATCACAATAATTCTTATTTTATAACCTTTATTTTTGTAGTGTTTTATGTTAATTTGAATCTATTTAGCCTGAATTAGATTACATAAGTAACTAGTAAAATGTAAAAAATTATATTTATCATTATTGTTATTTATAACAAGTCCTTTAAACATTAAAATGATCATAATAGGACTAACATAACGTATTTCAGTTGGCAGAACTACAAATGGGTCATCTTGGCTCGCGTAATGACGTCATCACCATGCGCCCAGACTCGAGCGATGCATGTGCGTGCATCAGCTAGAAGTTTTCTGTTGTTCCTGGAACCCCAGAGTCGCTTCAGGAGGCATATTGTTCGCTTATTTTCATCTGCTAACATTAGGAAACCTTTTACTCACCGTCTTATTCATCCGTGGTCTCAACAGGGGGATTTAACGATGGAGGAGCAGGACACAACCCCTGAAGCTCCGTCAGGTGGGGACACAAACACCGGGAAACGCAAACACGACGACGAGCCGGGCCCCCAGGAGACAGGCGGCCGGGGAAAGAAGCGAAGAGGAGCGGGAGGGAAGAAGCTCCGACCAGGGGAGAGATACGTCCCACCGCCCCAGAAACGGAACCCGGGGGTCAGCTTCAGCCAGGAACACTTCGACGAAACATCCTACTTCTTCGAAGGCGGCCTGCGCAAAGTTTGCCCGTATTACTTTGACTTTAAAACCTACTGCAAAGGCCGGTGGATCGGGAAAAGCCTGCTGGAGGTGTTCAAAAGCGAGTTCAGAGCGGAGTCCATTGAGTACTATGAGAAGGCCACTAAAGAGGGCCGCATCCGGCTCAACGAGAGTCCTGTGGATGACCTGTCCGTGGTGCTCAGGGTCAGTGCTGTCAGAAAACATTTACATCCAACTCAAATCAAATTAAACAGATTAAATTATCCCAGTTCACTGTCATACAACGTTACTCCATTAGTGTCTCTGCTTATTTAACAGCTCAAAAGTAGCTCCTAACAAAATAATCCAGAAATGATTTAAAGCAGTGGCGATCCCAAAGGGTGGGTAGGAGGTGGCCACAGCCCCCCATGGATTAAGTCATATTGTAATTGACAGTACATAAGTAGTTATTTCTTGAACAGGTCTTTTAATGGCATTTAGTGATACGTTTTCTAAAATGGCCTCTACTATTACCTTAGAAGATTAGTTGTTTCCCTTTATAAAAGTTAAGTTGCTTCTTTGTTTCAAAAACTAAAAAAAAAAGAAATAAATAAAATGGCTCTAATTATTAAAATAAGTGATGCAGTGTTTGTTCTGCAGAATAACGACCACATGAGGAACACCGTGCACCGCCATGAGCCTCCCGTAATCGGCGCGCCGCTGAAGATCCTGGTGGACGACGGGGAAGTCCTCGTGGTCGACAAGCCAGCTTCCATCCCCGTCCATCCGTGCGGCCGTTTCCGCCATAACACGGTGATCTTCATCCTGGGTAAAGAGCACGGCGTCTCCAAGCTGCACACTGTCCACAGGCTGGACAGGCTCACCTCCGGGGTGCTGCTGTTCGCCCGGACACTGGAGATGTCCAAGAAGCTGGACCAGCTGGTGAGGGATAGACAGGTACGTCTGGGATGGTATTAGGGCTGCAACTACCGATTACTTTAGTTATTGGTTAATCTATTGATTATTCAAGGTTTTGACTGGTATTATAAGCCTGGCAGGTCACCAGGCTTAACTTGCCTCCCCGTCAAGCTAACATTGTTTAGATTAAATAGGGTTTTAACCACCAGAAGTAGTAAAGATGGATTAATCTAGGTCTATAGTTGAAGCATTGAGCTGAGCGTGAAGCGGTACCACTTGCACCCATTTTCCTCAGAAGCTGTTATTTCCAAATTTCATCTGTTCATCCACCTCCGAATTTTCATAACTTTTAAAAATCTTTAGCACAAAAATACGTTGACTGCCCTAGCGCCACTACCAATAGGCTTAGGAGGTTTTTTGGGTGGAAATCCTCTTATTCTGAATATTAATTGGATAAAAAAAATGCCTCTAAGTCTGTCACAATAAACAATAAGTCAATTAGTCGCATGGTAAATTAAACAATCTCAATAATCTCCATTTGTATGATTTATCATCTCTCTTTCTACCAGTTACTCGAGGCTGTTGCTAGGCAACCAAACAGTGAGCGAGTTAGTTGATTTCACCAGCTTTGCTTAACTGGCTGTGTTTTTTATATCGTTGTACGTTTTTCAGCCATACGCTTATATTTTTTTAAGAAAAGCTTTTTTCTAATCATTTACTTTGATTTTTTTCCCTTTTCATTATTTTAGCTTGAGAAGGAGTATGTGTGTCGAGTAGAGGGGGAATTTCCTGAGGGCGAGCTGATCTGTGAGGAGCCCATCCTGGTGGTCTCCTTTAAAATCGGGCTCTGTCGCGTCGACCCGAAGGGAAAAGAGTGCAGAACCGTCTTCCAGAGGCTCAGCTTCAACGGAAAAACCAGTGTAGTCCGCTGTTTACCGCTCACCGGCCGCACACACCAGATCCGAGTCCACCTGCAGTACCTGGGCTTTCCCATCCTCAACGACCCCATATATGGGTCCCATGCCTGGGGCCCCCACAGGGGCAAAGGGGGCCTGGTGGGGAAGAGCGACGAAGAGCTCCTGCAGGCTTTAGTGGAAGAACATCGCTCTCAGGAAAGTTTACACCTGCTGGACTTTATGGACGACAGCAGCGCTGTGAAGGAAGCAGAGAAAACAAACACTTTTCCGGCACAAACGGAGGATTTCTCTGAGAAAGAAAACTCCAGCCAGGTTCCACCAGAGGAGCATCAGAGTACTGGATCAACCGGAGCCGAATCGGGTCAGAAAAGTCCCGCAGGAAGCCGGGACCACCTGTGCAGCGAATGCAAGCTGGTGCGACCGGACCCCACGGAGAAGGAGCTCATCATGTATCTCCACGCTTTACGCTACAAAGGACCGGACTTTGAATATTCCACACAGTTACCCAACTGGGCCGAAGCGGACTGGGAGGAGACCGATCTCAGCTGACCTCATTTAGCCACATTTTTTTATTTATTTTCTCTCAATTTCTTGGGTTTTATTTTGATACTTCTCAGGATGTTTTCTGAAGAAGATGCTGTATAACACCTCAGTGGGATGATTGTTTGTATTTAATTTCAGACATCTGAAATAAACCAACCTCTGCTGCTGTTGGAAAATTTGCTTTATTTCAGGTTTGTTAAAAAAAAAAAAAAGCAGGGTTCCTATCTGAAATTTTGTTTCAGTATTTTTCAGATCTAGCAAGATATGGGAAATAAAATGGTGCACTGACTGCACTTTTCTCACAATGTTGATTTTGGCCAACACCAATTTTTTTTGTCTGAAATGTTGCAATATAAATATTATATCAAGAAAATTGCTGAGTTTGAAACTGCAAACATGATCTGATGGAAGAGGACAGCGGCTGATTTTAGACTTTTATGCTGCGTTCACACCAAACACGTTTCAGACGTCAGAAACGAGTCAGACGCTTCAAATTGGGTGCGTTTGCACTTTGAAGTCAGGCGCTTGACATTTTGCTCTCAAGTTGCTCGAAAAGCACTATAAAAATTTGGGCTGATATCAATATTACAGCCATGTTCCAGCACCTTTTGGAAAAAAATGACCAGAAAGAGACAGCGACAACAAAGAAATATGTCTGCAGAAAACGTCAAAAGTGAATCAAAAGAAAAGTTTTATTTCAGGTAAGTGAAAAGGTGATGGTGGTGCAGCTGAGGTCTTTTCCACCACAAAATAAAAAACCGGGCTGTTCTTTCTTGAGTTTAAGGCAGGTTATTCTGCTGACTGCTAGAACAAGACTTTCTAAGAACTTAATCACACTTATGGCATCAAAAGCTTTAACAACTCAGAGGCACATTTTATGAAAGTCTTGCCACGGTCTCATGCTGAACCACCATCAAAGCCACTTTAAAGCCTCTGTTTTTACACTTCATATCATTTAGAGGAACACAAAACACATTTTCTACCCAAACAAACAAGTAAAGACAAATACTTTTCCGACACCAATAAAGTTTTGCATTGATTAAAAATAGATATTTTATGTTTGTTTAAATAACAAAAATAAAAGGTTTGACAATTCCCTGGTATAAATTTAAATTACAGCCTCATTTTCCTCACCAAAAGTCCAAATATACTTTGATTTCTTTAACATTTAAATATCTTTGTTAATTTGAAATCTGTTTGTAAGCAAATAATCACTTTTAAATGTACTTAAATCATTGAGTATATCCAAATTTCCTGGGTTTTTTTTTCCAATTTTTGACTGATCAAAAACCTTAGATGTTTCTTAGTGTTTCTTTAACAGAAATCTGGTTTTCTAATTCAACACCAACCACCTGTCTGCATCAGCTTTATTTAAATTGAACAAAAAAAAAATCACTTCCAAATGTTAAAGCATCCAACTTGATAACAAACATCGACTTTCAGACAAGAGCACTTGTTATAGTAAATTGTTCCAGGAATGATTGCATTGGATTGTTTTAGACTTCTAATAACAATAATAAATGGCTTTAGGGATTTCACCAGAAAACCTTACATGCTGCACATATAATTAAGGCATAATTACACCACAATGTACAAAACATATGCTTTTAAAAGTTGTTAGGCTATGGCCATAAGGGACACTCAATCCCAGTTTATCTTGAGTAAGAATTGCAATTTCACATAAAAATATAAGCAATAAATTAATTCTATAATTTTAAAACATAAAATAATCTAAATGCTTTTATTTGGAGCAGAAAATTGCACAGGTTTTATGGAGTAATACCGGGAGTAAAGCTATCTGCTGTTGTAGAGGCTGCAGTCAGCTGGTTAGCAGACATTACCGATCCAACTGTAATTTTGAGCTAGAATTAGTTTAATAAGAGTGACAAACTTCCAAAATATCCCAATTTATCTTAATTGTAAGTAAATGTATATGAGATTTATTGGAGTCAGCGTGAGCAGCAATGAGTGGGGGAGGAGCAACGCTGCACTCCTGTGCTCCATATAGCTGCGAAAACCTTGAGTAACCGTTTGCGTCACTAAATCCTTCGAGGCGCCATGATGGACGTTGTACTGAACAGAGCGACTGAAATTGTTTTCCTAAGTTGTTTTTCCAGTTTATTCGTGGCTTCTTCTTGATCAAGTCGAGCTAACACACGAGGTTGGGGCTCACAGACGGAGCTATTTACAAGTTGGAAATAGCTAGCTTAGAAAATAAAGTCCAGCAGTAAATATACAGTAAGTAAACAGTATTTTAGCACTTTTCTGCTGCTTTATACCAACCCACTCCTACAAAGAAGCTGAAATTTGTATTTCAGAAGCTCAAACTTTGAAATGTTAAAGAAAATAAATGGTAAGTATTAAATGCGTATTTGTGGAACAAGATTTTGCATGAATATAATAAAGAACAACAAAATTATACAAAGTGAATCAGTGAAATGTCAGATATTCAGAGCGTTTAGGTTCAGTAGTACAAAATACTTTTTTCAAGGTTTCAGAGATAAACATGCAACTGTCTTGATTTCAACTGGTGCCTGAACAGGGTTTGTTATGCTCTGCTGGGGTTAAAGGTCATGCTTTGATTTGACCCATTTCATTGGAACAGACAGACAACCTTAAAGCGACATTAAACAAACGCAGTGTCGACCCATATTTCCTTATGTTTGGTGACTTTTTGCATGATTTTGTGACTCTATAAATACAATAGGTTTTATAAATTAGAGCAATAAATGCACAGTGTTCGGAAAAGGTTGTTTATGTGATCATAAGTGCTTCAGCAGAAGGCAGATTGACTTTTTCCTCCTGTTTACTGCAGGAATGTTCAGATTACGGGTAGATTATCAGAGAGGTTAAACTTGAAGTCTCTGTTTATTGTTGATTTCCGCCTCCTTTTCTTTCTCCAAGCACAAATCTTTTCTGCCCAAAAAGTGTTTGAGATGTAGATGAACCGCTGAGTCATAACCCGACCCAAACAACTCACACACTGTAAAACATATGACCTGCATTTAGTTGCATCTACTGTTTTCTATTCTTTAAGTCAAATATTTGGTATATGATAATGATTTAGTATAAATTGCAGCATTAAGTTAAAACTCACAATTCAAGATGAATAAACTTTAAAAATGTTTATACAACTTTTCTCTTGTTAAATTAACTTAATGAATATTAATTTCTGAGTTAAAACCAAAACAATTTTCAAGGCAGCAGGTGGACTTTCTTTTTGAAGTTAAACCTTCTTTAAATGTTTTACAGTGTAGGACATACAGGTGAATCAGGGATTCGAGACCTTCATGGTCCTGTTGCGTTTCCATAACTTTCTCAATAATCTGCTAATGTCAAAACAGCAGAATTTCGCCATTTAATAAGAAATTGAATTAATAAGTCTGTTCATGTGATAAGTCATGATCCTTCAACTACTTCCTGTCGTCGTCTTTGTGGTTTACGCCAGTGGCAACATCCGGTCGTTTTTCATGTGACTCGTGTTTCTATTGTAACTAATTTAGATACAGCCGAGAAAACGTCTTATCCTAGCGCCAAAATTTTTCAAAATATTCTAAGTATGCGAAATTATATAGTCAATGGAAAGGCAGATAGCATTTTCTAAGTTTTGAAGTCCTAACCCTCGATCTGAACAGAAGATGAGCGGTGAAATGTCTTCAGGAAACAAGAGAATAAGTCGTGATGCCTTCAATTCAAGCACTTAGCATTGAGATGTCCTGGACGACTGCAAATCCACAGCAACGTGTTGCTCAACATGCATCCTCCCGCTGTCCGTCCCGCTTTATCCAGACGTCTGGTAGGTCCGGCCTGCTGTTGGGTAAGATGACCACTTCTTCACTCCGGCTGCTGCGGTCCTTCGTCTCGTAAACCGTTTCCTTCAGCGAGAGCCTCAGCGTGTCTCTCTTGCCGTTGAGGTGTCCTGGTTGCAGCTGAGCCGCCGTCTCTCCATCGTCCTGCTGTGGGTTTGAAGACCCCGCCTCAACGTCACTCAGACATGTTTCACAGGAGTCCTCCAGGCCTTCGCAGGAGCTCTGAGATGGGAAGTGCTGACTGTGACCCTCCTTTGTGGTATTTTCATCCTTGCAGAACGACTGCTGGTCTGTGGTCTCCATTGTGTGGCTGATGATGGTTTCCTCTATGCTCGATGATGAGGAGTAAGACGTATTGCTCCATTGCTTCCCCACAACTGATTGACCCCTGCAGGTTTTGCACAGCAGATTTCCAGTAGCTACATCTTCTTGCACCTGGCCTGCTTGGCGGAGGGTATTTTTTCTGTAAGGGGACGAGGTTTGAAGGGCTGGCTGGGCTGGATCCAAATCCTTCTTGCTCACCTCTACCCCACAAAACTCAATTTCATCTGAGAGCACAGAGGGCTGGTTGGACAGCTTGCTGGTACAGGTGCTGTTTTCGAAGCTGTCGCTGAGGCGATACGCCAGAGGCTGCAGCTCGTATTGCTCTGCGCCCCTGTGCAAACCACCTCCTCCTCCGGTCTGTTTGTGTCTGTGCTGACGCTGGTGGTCGGGGTAGAGGTAACCACCTGCCTCTTTGTCATAACTCCGCCTCCCTCTAGACCTGCCAAAAGCCCCATTGGCAGCAGGCGAAGAGCCAGGCTCGGAGCAGGAGGTCAGCACACCGTCTGTGTCCTCCGAGCAACACGGCAGCGTGATTCTTCCGCAGTTTCTCTGTGGCCCGCAAAAGCAGCACAGGGACTGAAAAAAGAAGGTAGCAAATCCACACGCCACACATTTCACCAGAAACAGGAAAATCCCTATTTTTCTAAAGTGTAAGGCAGTGGCTGGTAGCATGACAATGCCCATGAAGAAAAATGCACCGGAAACTATTGCTACAGGGCATCCCATTCTTTTAGTGGAGTGAGCCACTTTTCCTATCTTGTCCGAATGAGGAGCTAAGCTGTAGGAAATGGAAAAGTTGGCTACAAAGTCAACAGAAAGCCCTGCGGCAGAGGATATAAGCAGGGCCTCGACGCCACTGAGCTGCCACTCAAGCAGGACGAGGAGTCCAACAGTGACGAACACACTTCCTCCTACAGCAACAGTTGCATATAAGCTAAGTGGGATATTCCAGGTGGTTAGCAGCAGGAGAAGAAACGTGAGAGCGACAGAGACCCCAGCGACCACCAGAGTCTCAGAACTTAGAGACTGTTGTAGATCGAACAGAGACAGCTGGCTGATGAACCAGCCGTTCTCCAGCCCTTGTGGGGCTCCTGACATCTCTTTGTTGAACCATGTCAGGATTTCCCTGTAAAAACCACTGGTTCTGCTAAAGTTGAAGCTGTAGAGATAGGTGGTCTGGAACTCCAGAACGAGGGCAGCTGCCGTGCCGTTTGGCAGGAAGTACAGGCCTCCACTACGAGGCGCATGGCTCTCGGCGTGTTTCTCTGCTAGCATCATATTCAGGCAGCTTTCAAAGACGCTGGGAGGGAAAGGGAAGAGGATGTTGCTACAGCAGAGATGAAGGGCATCACTGGTTCCTGAGCACCGCCTGACAGATACCCAGCGCACCAGCTGCTCCACAAGGCAGACGTTATCCGCCATGACATCTTTATTTTCTGGTGTTGGAGCAGAATAAAAGCTTTGGTTCTGGACCCTTGCACACAGATCTCTCAGCCAGACCTGAGCGTCCGGCCTGCTCATGTTAAAGTCCGGGTCAAAAACCAGGGAGCCGTTACTCTGTGGGTTAAAGTGATCTCCATTATCAGTCGGTTTGATGCCCCAAACGAGCAGAACAGTGACGGGTTTGTCCTCCCCATTCCTCTGCCTCTCAAACATAAACATGTGGCGGTACTCTGCGTCGTATCTCTCAAAAGGGTGGCTGGAGCGGAACAGCTGGGCGACCCAGCTGTCCAGAGTGGGTAACCTCATGCCCGGGTCAACGCAGGACATGTACGTGCCCCCGGCCGCAAGAACTGCAAACCAGCACACCCAGATGTAGCGAAACTTCACGACCCCACAGGGTAGGATCTTCAGAAACAGCAGGTTTGAGGTGTCTGACAGGCCTCTTTTCAGCTCTCTCAGCTTCTGAATCATGCTGAAGATGCACCTCTTACGAGAACTCGTTACCCAGAAGTCACCCAGGTTTTTGGAGCAGTGGGGCTTCCATGTTTGCACCACTACAGACGCAGCGGGCGCCTTCCTGGAGCGCTCAAGCAAGATGAAAGAGCACGGCAGCCACACTAACGCCAGCACACAGCTGATTAAGGAAGCAGTCCCCAGATAAATAGAGAAACATCTAATTGCTGAGATGCTGCTGAGATAACCGGAGAAAAAAGCTGCACTGGAGGTCCAGCCTGAAGCTAAGATAATATAGCCTATTTCCTGTAAGGCTCTGTTTACTCTCTTCTCCAGGGAGGCTGAAGGGTTTAGCGTTAGCTGCAGATTCCAGAAATCTGTAAAGATAAAAACCTGATTGGAGCAACTTCCTAAGAGAATCAGAGCTGCTGCCAGATTCACCATGGGGAAGAAAGTCAGGTGAAAAGCTACTTTATAGAAGAAATACGAGGTCAGGAGTGAGGCTGTGATTGCTAGAACAGATAATGCTACAATGAAGAAGGACTGGAGATATAAAACCATGGTGAGCAAGAGGGATAAAACAGCGAGGACCGGGAACACCGAATCTCTCGCCAAGTAATATCTGAACAGCGTCTTCTTGATACCAAAGTCTATCCCGGTTATGGTCGTGTTATTGTACGTCAGATCTCTTCCTTCAAGGCTGTTCATGTAGATCTCCATCATGTGCTCTCCTTTCTGGACGGGTAAGAACAGAAGGCTGTACTTTAGTGTCGGTATTTGGTATTCAACAGTCTGGGGGCCGAGAAAGTCTTTGTCAACGAGGAAGTGCAGGATCTGGAACACAACGCGGGATTGTTTACAGCGCGAGGGAACGGAGGAGCAGCCGCCATGCATGGGTCTCTCTGCGCAGGCCGAGGTCAGATCTCCTCGGTGGTAGGATGGAGCACATTTCCGGAGAAGTTTCAAAGACTCTGAGACCTGGTGTGGCAGAAGGATAACAGAAAATGATTATTTAATATCTCAAATAAGACAAAGGTAACTTATAAGTAACTTTTCGGTTGTTTTAAGTCAGTAATTTGTTAACATTGATCTAAAAGTACTTGTCCAATTGGAAGATTATTTAACTCGAAAGATGGGAAATTTATCTTGTAATTACTGAACAAAATGGCCAATGGAACTGGTACTTTTAGATCAAAATTAAGAAATTATTTATTTAAAACATGCTCATTTATTGTGCTGAAAAGTTGCTTGCAAGTTAGTTCTGTCTTATTTCAAGGGTAATAAGATATTTGCACTAAAAACGAGGCAAAAATACTAGCTTCTTATACTTCATTTTAAAAAAATCATAATTTCCAAACTACATTTTGCATTAAGTCAAGTTGTTTTTTCATCAGAGATTGCAATTTGTCTGACAATCTGAGACATTTAGTGTCAGTTTACATCTGGAAAAAGTAAAATTTCAGTTTCAGTTCCATTTGGGCAACAATATAAAATAGTTCAGCTCCAACTCCTTGGTTAGAGTTATAAAAATAAAAGTCCAGCACTGAAAAAAAAACTCCCTTGGCAATGATTAAATTTGTTAACTAGAGCCTGACATAAACGATTCCTGATAAAACTGTGGAATCTGGCACAATTTAGCAGGAGCTAGACTCCAAACCCCAGTCAGACTTTCATGGAAAATCCATGACTGACCTTCTCAATCTGCCAATCCAAACAACTGCAGCATGCAACATTATGGTGAGATCTAATTAGCTGGGAGCTGATAACATAAAGCTACAGTGCCTGTTGTGAGGTAAGGCTGAGGCAGCAGGAGGCATTGGAGAGAACCGCCAAGTAGTTCCCCAAGGACCAGCTTGGACAGCAGCCGCCTCTCGGCGCTCCCTCCGCTTCCACGCTCTCAGGCTGCTGGCACAGGTCCTGGAACTGAGCCTGGGACCGAATCTGATTCACAGGGAGAGCAAAACAAGGTTTCTGAACTCATGCCCGCTTCTGAAACTAATTCACAGTCAAGAAATTAATCTCCCATGAGATTCGGTAGAGCAGATCTACTGAAGACTGGGCTTAAAATGCCGACCGTTTGCAACTACGTCACTTAATCATGATGGACGTCGGAAGTATTGAACAGAGCGACTCAAATTGTTTTCCAAAGTTGTTTTTGCCTATCTTTTTGTGACCTTTACTCGTTCAAATCAAGCTAATTTGTCTGTGAACATAACACACCTGATCTGGGCTCAGACGGCGGTAGCTAGCTTAGACACCGACTCATACCAACTTCCTTTGACGTGTTGATCAAATTACAGACTCTCGGTGAATTCCCACCATATGATTTATATCACTATGTCAAAAACGGCGTTTCCCTTTACACCGAGTAAACCTTAATGAGGTTCCCACACCCTCTTCCGGATAAAAGCTAGGCCTGCGCGAAAAAGACGTCACATGACTTCATCACTTCGTCGCGAACTTGAAGTCTGGGCTGGTTTGGTCTGGTTGCTGTCTGGGATTTGGAACTGCGATTTAAAAACGGCCCCCTTGATGACTGTGATTAGTCATGACGAGCGATAATAAACGTTCAAAAGACGAGATGCTAACCAGTTTTCTCCCCCCTACATGCTAGGTTACATAACGGTGTGGCACTGTTTCCATGGTTACCAATGGTTAGACATCTTCTCCATAATGGATAATGGATATCATTGTTCTAATCATACTTACTTACAAAGCATGTGAACGTTAATCTTCTTACTCTGTAAAAAGTGTTGGCTGCAAATCGGAGCAGTCAGTCGTTACGATCTCAGTTATGACTGCTGTCCATCGCCATATCTTTACTCATTAAAAGTTACTATAGAATGATAAGTTAGGTATTCACCCTCGGCCGCACAGCATCCTATGACCATTTTTACAGTGAAAACAACTAAATAAAAGCAATATTAGACCACAGATGTCCGTTTATTGGAGCGCATTGGTTGTTTTAGCGTCCATCATGGCGGGGTTCTGAAGAGCGTTACATCACTTGGTCAACAGATTACAGTCAAGACTGTCAAACAGATAAAAAGTGGCTTTGATAGAGGGTGGTGTCTAAAAGCGAAGAGAGAGCTAACCCTGGATTGCTCCATCTCACACATGGCGTGGATGGCCTTCAGGCTCCAGAGACTGGCTGAGTTTTCGGATCGAAACACCAGCTGGGCGTAGCGCTGGCCTGCACAGAGAGAAGCAGATGGCGTCAGGCGAGATGACCGGCGGTGAATCATGTGATTCCAGGGATGGTTAGCAAACATCAAAGTGGGTTAAAAAAAAGAAAAGCTTGTGAATTACACTGAGGTATGATACGATGGAGATGAAAGACGGCAATCAACACATTTTGTGCCAAATAAAAATCAGGCTAATAAATCTACTGAGAGAGATTTCTGTGTTTCATTAAAAACATAAAAGTTAAACCTTTAACAGAAATTGGCTTTCCACATAAAGCCACATATAAAACTGCTTCTTCTGAACTACCAAACCACATCACAAAACTTGGTATTTTCATGATGCATGATGTAGTCAGGGATCTTTTACGTATTTCTAGTCCAAGATAGAGCAGGTTTAAAGATGACCTATGATGTTTCCTTGAACAGATTAGGACAGGTTTATGGTCTACACCAGCGGGTCCAAAGTGCGGGGCCATTTGTGGGCCCTGATTTTGAGCGGCGCCCAACTGCAACTCTTAAAGATGGAGGGTTTAAATTTGTAATCAAGGTCAAAATTGTTGCCAACATTTTTTTTCTTACACAAGAAAATGTAAAGTACAACAAAAAGTATTCATGTTTTTAAAAGCAAGTTTTAACAAAATGTAAAACTAAGAGACTTTTACTGAAAGCCAACTTTGTTGCACCCAATTCAGCTGTTATTCTTTATTAAACTTAGCTAAATATAGCAAACGTTTTGAAAAAAAGTGACCCAGATCCTGTTCTTATTACTGAAAAAAGGACATTTGATAGAAAGAAAAAAGAAATTTAGATTAATATCAGAATTTTCTCCCAAAAAATTGGAAATTTATACATTTCAAATGTCAAAAATTTTCTATAAAATGTGTTGATCACAACATTTCTGAGTTTTTATTGGAAATGTACTCATTCTTTTATTTCCCTACATTTGCCTTGAAGTTATGGCTGTCATAAAAATCCCTTCCAAGAGCTGGATCTTCAATAAGAATCGGGCTGCTTTTGTTGCTTAGTTTTAGTTAGTTTTTTTCTTTTTATTGGCCCTCTACTACTTTTGAGCCAACAATTTTGGCAAAAAGTTTGGACACTCCTCATTTGTATAAAATATCTTTATCACTAAATCATTCTTAATGAGATTTTAGCCTGGTAATTTCTAACTTTTATGAGTTCCTCTCAGAATGAGCTGCTTTAAGGCGTCTTGTCACTTTAAATCTAAATAAGTTCTTCTGGCAGAACGGCCAACTTAATGTTTACTCTCACATGTGAAAATGTCTCCAAACAGATGCACAATTATAAAAATTTATATCTTTGAAAAGCAGAAATGGGGCCTCCTGCACAACCAACAAGAATGCAGCAAGTGATTTCTGAATAGTAAGCCAACAACAAAATCCAGCAGCCATTGTACAATAGTAAAACGAGCTGAGCAAATATGCTGGAGTTCTTATTGGGTTGCTAGGTGACAGGTGGAACTCCACTGCAGTTGCTAGGTAACAGCGTAGTCTAATTGTGCAATCAGGAGGTTTTTGAAGCGGCCCATGTTCTAGACATGTAAAACATTAACTTATTGCCAAAGAACATCTTGGCGTTTTCTTTTAAGCGCTTCGGCTGTTTTTAGAAGCAGCAGAAACACAAATGAAAGTATAAAAACATGCAAAATGTAAATTTTGAATAATGTGTGCCCTTTAATTAAAGAACCGGGTGGTTCAGGACTTTCTCACCTGGAGCATCACAGAGGAAAGTGTCCAGAGAAAAGTCAGCGGCCAGCATCCTCTTAATACGACGACCTCTGGAGGCGAGCTGACTGCCATTACTGTCTCTGCTGACAGCGCCGGCCTTGGCAAAGCTGGGATGTCAGGAAACACGTCTGCTATTACAAATGTAAATACTTTATACTTTAATTTTATGAATAATCAATTCTTAATTAATGTACAGCCATTATAGGGAAAAGCAACTCATTAGTTTTGGCCTGGAGGGTTTAATTGTTTCATGGTGGAATAATCACATAACAAGCAACTGCAATTAACTTTATAAACAAGAATTGATCACACAAATTGTAATTTATTGTGGATTTTTATGAAATCCTCACAGGGTTTATACACATGTTCGACATTTAAAGCTTTCTGGCTTCACTCCTGCTGCATATTGTTACCACTTTCATTGGCAGGACTGCCAAAGTTCTTTTAAATTGGTTGGCTTATTGTTTGGAGCTTAATATCAGTCCAAAGGAAAGTTTGGATGCGTGTTTCTTATATTTTTAAAGCCTTGGCACCGACATTAGTCCATAAATTTCCATCACACCTAATTTAATGATCCTAAACTTAGTTTGTTTGGGGGTCATTGTCCTGTTGACACACCAGAACCACCAGTTAATTCTCTATTTTCATTTTTCCGTCCACTTTTTGCAATTCATCAGCTTATCTGGCAGTAAAACAGCCCAGAGCATTAAGCTGCCACCGCTGAGCTTGGCAGTATATTAAGGACTGAAAGCCTCACTTTGACTTCTCCAAACATATTTCTTGTCATTTCTTGCCAGCCATAGTAATCTTTTTCTCCTCTGACCATGTGGTTTAACCAAAGTGGTGATTAACCTGCTTCACTGGACAGTAGCACTGGTATTCCAGATGTTTTCAGTTAAGCTTTGACCATTCCTGGTTGTTCTTGAACTAGAGATACAAACAATTAATCCACTTTACGCATAATGGTTTAATAGATTCAAATTAGTTCCAATTGAATGACGTCAGCTTACGCAGCCTTCTTTTATTTAGTGTTGTAGTTTAGCCGCCATCCAGCAGAGGGCCCCGCTGGTCATCTTCAAGCGAAATAGAAACAAAGATGGCGGCGGGCCATACCAAAAGAAACTGTCCAAACGGAGTCCATAGTGGGATCAAAAATGCACTTTATGCGGTTATGTTTAGAAATATAAACACTCGACAAGTTCCTAAAGTTAGACATGACGGAAAAATCATGGCGCCAATAAGCACGGTTGATTTTGATGGCTGTGGTGAGTTAATACACTTCATGGAGAAAAGTTTTAGCTTTCTTCAAGAGCAACCACAGATTATATTTCTGTTTAGACATCTCTCTCTTCACGGGGAATTACGTGTTTCACATGTTATTGTTTTCATCTCTTACTTTTCTGTTCAGAAACTGAAGAGGTTCCTGTTTTTTGTTAAATATATAAATATGTTTGTAAATGAGAGAAAACCAGAATTTTCTGTTTATTCAGCAATTAAAATAGCCGATGCAAAATAATGTTAAAATTATTTTTTTAGTCAGCATAATATGAACAAATTGAGGCAAATATGTTATGCAAAGATGGTTGACCCTCTTAAAATAAGAGAAAACAGGTTTTTAAGAAAATGGATGCTTATCGATTAATCATTAATAAATTCAAAAATACTTTATTGGGAAATTAAATATTGTTGTTACTCATATTAATTAAAATTCTTCATAGTTATTGTGTGTGGTGATAGCTGTTAGAAAATATTTCCTGTAGCAGTCTGTATTACAGCAAATTTGAAGACAATGGTGTTGTCCATAGTTAAATCAACTTTAGATTAACTTATTAAACAATAGCTTGCATCTAGGCCTGTCACAATAAATCAATTAATTGTGTGATAAATTAAAGGGAGCTCAATAATTCCCATTTACATAATTTATCATTTCTTTTATTTTCTGTCTTTCTAACAAAATCTGGATGATAAAAGTCTTCAGTTTGGCACTTTGGTCTGAACTAACCGTTTTCTTTGAGACTTCATAATTTTATTTGTTGTTTCTGTTGTTTTGTTTATTTATTTTGGATATTTAAAATGTCTTCCAGTTCCAGTGATAAGTGTTCATTAGAATCTGAAGTTTATTTATCTTTGAGAATGTGTTCTTGTATAATTATGCTATTTCCATTAGATTATTTGGATATGGTCTCAAAACAACAATATTATTGTTTATCGCAACAAATTCTGGGGGAATTTATCATCTAGAAACATTTGTTATTGTGAAAGGCCAAGATTCTTACCTAACCCAAACCATTTTTCTTCCACCTGAGAAAAGTTTGCTTGTTTTGAACTAGATGAATCAGGCTAACATTTAGCATCTGCAATGGCCGTGACCTCAACCAGTTAAAAGAAACTCTGCTGGTTTGACCTTGAAAATCATTAAAATATTCAGCAGAATGGTTTGCAGAAACTTCTCATTATGCTCTGACTCTTTGCTGACCTCTTGCTGAGCTGCGGTGGCTCAGCAGAAAGAGTTTTCCCCGGGCCGGTTTCCTGCTGCAGCCTGGACAAGCTGGACAGCCGAACGCCGATGTACGTTCCCCGCGGCTGGAAACCCTGAGACGTTCGGAGCAAATGATTCAGAAACAAAGATAATTATGAGGAAAAGACGCTGCAGAGGGCAGAGTACACAAAACGTTTACTCAAGTTAGAGTAGCACCACTTCAACATATTTCTACTAAAATAAAAAGTGGCTGTGAAAGAAATTACTCAGGAGTAAAAAGTATTTGGTAAAAAGTTTACACAAGAACAGAGTAACTGATCAAATTATCAATCATTTAATATTTTAAAAATTACATCAGATGGACCAAAATGTAAAGTTAGGTGGAAATTTTAGTATTTTAAGGACAACAATTCATATAACTAACAAATATAACAAAATCAGACAAAAGAAAATTTTGCAAATCAGTTTCTTTCAATAAAAAACTTAGGAAACTTTATTAAAAACTGCAGGTTTGTGTCTGTGTCTGGTGAATTTTTTGGTTATAACATGTTTGTTTTTCATTCAGTGGGTAGAAAATCCAGAAATTTTACTCAAGTAAAAGTAAGAAGTACAGCGCAGTAAAAAAAACTCCTAAAAGTACATTTTTGCGCTCAGAGTGCTGCGTACTTAATATTTTTGTTGATTTGCTCACATTTTACTTTCATTATCAATTAGTGTTCACTATCTGAGCAGGATAATTTAAATTAAATGTGAGACTGAACTGCCTGGAAACATCATTATACATCCCCAGTCGTTTCTGTTGTAGGTTTGATTTGAGGTGTGAAAGCACCTTGAGTCTGCTTCTCACCAGATGCGTTGAGGTGAGATTTTAAAGACAAATCCTGCTGACTCGGCGCGTCTCATTTACTCACCAGAAGCGGATCAGAGAAGTCTGGCAGAGACCCAATGAAGAGTCCAGCCAGTGACAATCCCAGCAGCAGGACGGCACAAACCAGCAGCACCAGTAACGGTCGGTCCACCAACAGCTGGGAATACCTGCAAAAACAGAAATGAAATAAGAAACTACACAGCAATCAAAATAAATATTTAAAAATAAGAGAAGAAAAATAAGAAACGATGAATCCTACACTGGGATTTAATACTCACTTTCTAATTATGAAGTAAAATCCCCCAGTCCTGTAATATTAATAACAGAACATAATTATGACAGAAATTATCTACTTGTTGTCTAACATTTGAATTATTTGAATTGTGTGAAGCTAAAACTTGGGCACTAGAGGTGTTCTGGGTAGAAATTGTTTTTTTACAAATCTTATATTTTTTGTACAAATTGCCTTAATTACTGCTCTGAATTTGTTGTTCTTTCAGCAGTTGATCTTTTTATGAGTCCTTATATTCTAGTTAATTATTAAATTACTAATTTAGTTAAGGATTATTACAATAATCGATTCTTAATCCAATTAATCATTTCAGCCTTAAATAATCTAACAAAATCTGTCCGCCAGCATTAAAACATCAGGTAAACATTCTCATATTTCATTACTGGGAAACATGCCTTGGTGTTTTATTTTGTCCCACCTTACTGACACCACCTGCCGCTGCTTCGGTTTGGTTCTGGTCTCTTTCGGCCCGTGCAGCCAGTGGCACCTGGCCGACCCGTGGCAGGACCCCTGCTGGTCAGAACCACAGCTGTGTCCGGGTTTCACCGCCAGCCCTCCGTCCGCATGAGGACACGCTGCGTTCAAATGGCAGCAGCGGGCTTTGACTGGTCCGTGACGGCTGCAGTGGGGGCATTTAAGGTGGCACGGCGAATGGCAGGCTCCAGTCTGAAGACGCTGCGGGACCTTAAGGAAGAGTAACAGTTTATGATTGGTCTAGGCAAAGTAAAAATATAAAATAAAATAGGGATGGTTAGTAGGGACTGATATGCACTTTAGCATTTTTTTAAATGCATCAGAATTAGCCAAAATGCTGTTTTTCATCTGTTTTTGGACAATGAATATAATAAAGGTTAAACAAAGCAAAGTTAAAGTGACTTAACTACACACATTATAAAACAGTAAATACAAAACAAAGCCAAGTTCTACACAATTATTATAAAAAGTCCAAGAAAATTGCAAAAATACAAAATCTTACCAAGTATTTTTGGTCTAGTTTCTCGTGCAAATGTCTTAGTTTACTTGAATTAAGACAAAACTAACTTATAAGTAACATGTGGGCAAAAAAAATATGAGCTTATTTAAGTAAATAATTACTGAAAAAGTACTAGGACTATAACGAGACATTTTTCAGTGTCATAAGTGAAATAACTTGCTAATACAACTAGTTTTTAGCTAGAAACAGGAGCTTGATTTAAGTCAATAATTCCTGCAAGTAGAACAAGACATTTTAATTTATAAAATCCACTAGCAGATTATTTCACCTGTAGTTTTTCTCAATATCGAGGCATTATTTACTTAAAACAATCTCCTATAACTTGCTAAAAGATATTTGTAAGTTAATTTTGTCTTATTTCAAGTGAGATAAGATATTTGAACTAGAAAATAGACCATTACTTGGTAATATGTTGTGTTTTTGCAGTGTAGACTGTAATTTCACTGCTACTTGAATTGTGTTTTTCCATGCGTATAAATAACATCATCATCTGCGTATATTTGAACAAAGACATTTAAGAAGATGTTATTGCATAAATTTGAATAAAACAATGAGTATTTTCTAAATATAGCAGGTGTTGCTGAACACGGTGCTGCAGGCAGAGACACGCAGACGTACCTGATGGTAGAGCTGGAAGGAGGAGGAGGGTTTTCCCAGGCTGCTGCAGCTGTCACACAGCTCCTCTGCAGAGGGGATGACAGTCAGCTGGGCCTCAACGGAGCCGTCGGGGGGGCACAGAGAAACCACCGGGATGCAACTGAGCAAAGAGACAAATAAAGGCTTGTAACCCCAACAACACAATATACCTGGAAATGAAGGAGTGTTTGCAGAAGCAATAACCTTTTCCTCTTAGATTCAGAGTAGAAATGCACAGCTCAGCAGCAAGAATGAGGTAAGAAATGGATTCAGAAACACTTTGTAGCTTCAGGTTGTATGTAGGCCAAACAAAGAGGAGAAGAAGATGGTTGATGGTAAAGCTGGATCACATCATGATGTCTTATCTTCAGGGTGAGGGGTTTGACGAAACACACTTAATCATGGCTAATTGCTGTCAGGAGAGCCCTGGAGTTTCACGGAAATATTTTCAAATACTGCAAAAAGTCTGATGTTTATTTTGTGATTATTAATAAGTGATTGTCTGAACACCAGTGGTGATTGATTAGCTAATTTAAATACCTGCTACTGATCCTTCAGACAGTTGGTTTTTGGGTCGCCTTAAATTGGAAACATGCCGAATTCTGCAGCTCATCTACATGTTAAAGTTGTCATAGTCAAGCTAGCATAACTGACCTACTTCCCTCTACCGACCTATCTTTTCTTTTAATTAAAACTTTTCCTGACCTTCTTATCTAGTTGTCACAGTGTTGACAATTGGTAGCAAAGCAATCCTTCTTTCATGCATCGTGCCTGCGTTTAATATTTAGCGTGTTATGTTGACAGCTAAAAGCCTAAAACCCTCGGTCTCGGTTCGTTTGAAGTGAACTCTTAAATTCTTATGTGATCATCAACTGGAGACCACTACAAAAGCAGGAAGTGGGTTACAGCGCAGGGCATTCTGGGTAAATACAACCAAAACAAACGCACAAGTTTAGCGTTAGTGGGACAAATGTCTTTTTCCAAAGAGAAATCCTAAAACAGCTAAAATCTGAGGCCACTCATTTTTGTTTACATTTTATGAGGAAGAAAGTTGCGCTCATGTCTTCTTCAGAGGTTTTCTTGTTGTTTCCTTCAGCAGTTCTTGGTGCAGCGCCCCCAGAGGAGAGGATGGGAACAGGTTTTTCAAAGGATTTGGTTTGTTTGACATGTTGCAGTGTAAAGAAAACTGCAGAAGCTGAAAATGTAGCAAATGTAGCAAAAGTCTACTGGACAATCAGGTGTGAAAACACCCTGAAAGTGTTTGTAACCCTGTAGTTTTCCAACACTTATGAAGCTTAACTCCATAGGAAACACTGTTTCTACTCAATCCACAACTGTTCAAACATACATGTGCAACAGAACAACATATCCGACCTGCTTCTGCATCAGCCCCTGCACAGCTCGGCTCCAAACTGAAACGTTGCATAATTTACTCATAAACAGCCCAAGCTGCTGCGTAATGGCCGTTCTCCGTTGTTTGTTTTTCCAGCAGTCTGGACGCAGCCAGTCTTGTCGTCTCGTAACCATGGCATTAGAGGGAGCCAGCGAAACCCGGCTGACCTCACAGATACAGCTGCATCGAGCAGTAAGGGGCTCAGATGAGGTAAAAAATACAGTAAACCTGAAGATTTCTGTGTTTTTGTGTGCTAAAATAAAACTGTGATAGGAATGTAAACCAAAATATACAGTAGTACCTCTTTGTCATAAAGCATTTTATTACTATTTAGACACAGAATATACACAAATAGTGAATAAGGCGTCTAACTAACAGAGCCGTAATTTACATAATTCATTAATATTTCTGAGGAATTACAAAAACTGATCCACACAGGACTGTCTAAGACTTTGACGTCAGTGTGGCTTGTATGAAGCTGCTCGTGGGAATCTGCATCTGAAATGACTTCCCACTGCTGCTCCACACTTTGTGCACTGAATACATTAAAAACAGACACAGTGGAAAAACTTTGTGGAGCTGAAAATCTGAGCTTAACAGAATGACCACAAGCTAAACACGCGTTTCCTGTAGATCACATTGCTGGCTTTGATTCTAGTTGTTTCTCCAAAGTCCCAAGAGGAAACCAAAATCAGCAGCAATGGTTTAGTTTATAGAGCTGTGATTAGAAAAATTATCCAGTTTCAGTTAGCATGTCTGTGTAACAACTTGCAGTCTCATCCGTTCATCGTTTTCCGCTACGAGGAGAGTGGGAGAAAGTGCAGGCATCATTCATCAAGAATGTTATAAATTTGTCAGAATTCTGAGAGAAAAAAAAAAATCAAAATTCAAAAAATTCTGAATTCTAAGAAAAAGTCAGAATTCTGACCGAAAATTCAAGATTTAAGTTAATTCTGACTTTTTCGTCTCAATTTTGGGAAAAAGACTCGGAATTCCAAAAAATGTCAGAATTCCAAGAGAATGTCAGAATTGTGACAAGAGTTAGAATTCTGATGAAAAAATCTGAATTTTGAGAAAAATCAGAAGAAATTCTGAGGAAAAATTTAAAACATTCAAGTTCCACCGGCAGATTATTTCACTTATAAGCAGACATTTTCCCATGTTGTAAGTAAAATAATCTGCCAGTGGAACCGGTAAGCTTTCATCAATATTATGAAATTATTGGCTTCAAACAAGCTCCTATATCTTGCTACTTGTTACTTCTAACTTAGTTTTGTCTTACTTTATATATACTACAATAAATATCTAGAAACTCTACAAACTAGACCAAAATGCTTGGTAAGATTTTGTATTTTTGCAGTATTTGTCCAGTTTAAGTACCTGGGTATTTCAAAATAAGAGTCCCGTTCATACAGTTAGAACAAAAATTTTTAATTATCTCAAGAAATCCATGACAGTATGTTGAAGCTAATTACAAACATAGCTAATAATAGTAAGTGTGTTGCACACATAGAGTAGCTTTGGATCGATGAAGCATCTGGTGTTGAAATGTCAGTATGATGGCCCCCAAATGAAATCTGCCCTGGGTCCCAAAAAGCTTTGACCAGCCCTGCCTAATGTTCACATTCTCCTGGAACGACATATTTCCTCATGCAGTAAACTCTCAATCTGTCAATCCAAATACTGACTGCTGATTCCTATAGAAATCAGATCTGTTGGGACTCGACCTGAAGTGACTTCGAGACTCAGCGTTTTGCATGTCAGAGAAGAACAGGCGGCATTCTCCTCGTAGCGACAGATGCTGCTGAGTTTAGCTCCATGTTTTCTCCAGCCTCACTGTCTGATGTTTTCCAGCAAAGTAGAAAAGCTGCTGGGGATCAAAATGAGTGACTGGTTGACATCTGTAAGCCGAACAGCAGGAGAAAGAAACAGAACTGATTTCTGACAAGTCAACATGTTAGCCTGCTGCTGCTCTCAGTCTGTTAAACGCAAAAACAGGGCAGGGCAAAGTGATCAGGACCTGTCTGGATCTATCAAAGTGATCAGGACCTGTCTGGATCTATCAAAGTGATCAGGACCTGTCTGGATCTATCAAAGTGATCAGGATCTGTCAGGATCTATCAAAGTGATCAGGATCTGTCTGGGTGGGCATTTGTAAAGTTACACAATAAAACATTTACAGAAATAATTTTAATTATTACACTATCAAAGAGAAAAAAACATTCATTTTTCAAAATGTTATTCATATATTTATAAATGTCACAGTGCCCGACTAAATGCTCAATTAGAAAGCTAAGCATTTAGCTTTCTAATTAAGTTCTCTAAAGTATTATTTAGAGAACTGAATAATTAGTTTTCAAACTAAGCATTTCCAAATATTTAGTTTAAAAACTAAATAGATAGCTTGTGAATTAAACATTTAGGAAGGAAGCTAAATAATTATTTAAGAAAATGGACTTAAGTATTTAGTTGGGAAGTAAATGGTTAGCTTACAGACTAAATATTTAGTTTCCAACTAAATGTTTAGCTTAAAAGCTAAATATTGATTTTTCAAACTAAATATTCAGTTTGAATAATATTTACGTTGAAGAAATATCAAACTAAATACTTAGGAAACGATGTTTTGCTTGGACTTAAAAACACTTGGTACTAAATATTTAGCTTGCAAACTAGATATTTATTTTCCAACTAAATATTTAAAACTAACTATTTAGCTTGGACTTAATCATTTAGTTGGGAACTAAATATTTATCTCACAAACTAAACATTTAGTTCCTAACTTAATATTTAATTCAAAAGCAAAAAAAATTAGTTTGTAAGTTAAATGTAGTTTTTGACTTAAATATTTAGTTTGTAACGTTGACATTTATAAAATTAGGAAGAACACAGTGAAATATTAGTTTAAAAAATTAACACCAACATTTGTTTTCTCTGACAGGCTAAATAAACTAAAACATTGCTGTAAGCGTTACAAATGGCAGCCCGTAGGTTTGTCCTACTAAATTAATGCAGATCATTTGACCTGCCACAATAAAAAAACATGAAGATGTTTTTTAAAATGCACGTAGTTACAGTGTTCGTGCCAACAGAGCTGCTTTATGCGATCTTCCAGCAGGTGAAATCATCACTCATTGAGACTTTTTCTTTAATTAAACCCAAATGCGGATTTAAATCAGTTTCCCATCCAGAAAAAAGAAACCCACCTCTGGGCAGTCTGCTGAATTTCCTTCTCTTCAGTCGGAGAATCATCCACCACTATCGCATCAGTACTTTCTCCAATAATCGATCGAGCCTCCATCTTCCTCCCGATTCAATCAGCGCCTCTTAAAAGGTCACAATCACTGCGGGAACATTTTAAATCAGCTCAATTAATCTGCTTTAATCTTCGTGGAGTGAATCCACGCGGATCAGACCAGCAGTGCTTGTTTCTGGGGTTGCTACTACACAGCGGCAGCATCAGGGATGTTTGCGTTAACCTGCTGCGCTCTGATTGGCTGAGCCGCGCTGATGCTGCTGACGCGGCGCGGTCGCTGTCCAATCGGGTGCGGAGCTGGAGAGCCCGGAGACGGGCTGCATCCTGCAGGTGCCGCTTAGTTATTAACAGGCAGCACCGGCTCTGATGCTCAGTCTGAACAACTGGACCGGGACTTCCTGCTAAAAAGATTTTAAAAATAAACTCTCATCAGACCAGAGGGAAACTAATGAGGTGAAACCTTCAGTTTGTTTTCAGTCAAATAAATGTAATGATGTAATGCAGGAATCAAAACAAAGAAACTTTAATAACAAACAGGTCCAGAAGTTTCATATTTAAGGATCAAGTTTGGTCCAATTCAAGCCTCATTTACAAAAATGAAGTTACAGATAGACTTTTTATTTTAAAACTTTTTTCCCAGGATTATACATTATATCATCAGAATTTTCACTCAAAAAACATTTAGATTACGAAAGAATGATAGAAAGAAGAGAAAGAAAACACTAAAGAGAGAAAGAGAACAAAATATAGAAAACAAGGAAGAAAGAGAAGAAAAGGAGAAAGAAAACAGAACAAAAAAGAAAGAAAGGGAGAAAAAACAAACAAAAGATAGAAAACAAGGAAGGAAGGAAGAAAAGGAGAAAGAGAAGAAGACACAACAAGTAACAGTTGGATCTGACAAAGACTGAATGAATCCGTGAGCTTTAAGATCTGAGGAAGGTGATTGGTGGAACAAAAAAGGCAAATAGTGTTTTTATTTCTATGTTTTGTTGATTTTTTCCCCCCAACATTTTTATTAAAATGACAAAACTAGAAGATAAAAGTATCCTGTCTTAATAAAACCATAAAAGTTTAAGTTTTTTTTTTAAATATTAAATCTCTGTTGTAAATAGTTTCAACATCAGATTTTTCAGGCATTTGAGGTTTATGTTCCGTATCACAATGGATCCTTCATATTTTCCTTTTTCTCATTTGAAAGTATACAAATACTTTGGATAATATACAATAACTATACAGAAACTGATGTTTTCGAGCCTTAATTCCTATTAATTATGATGATTCTTTGTTTACAGTTAATGTAAACATGACATTAAGACTAGAATATTACATCAGATCAACAAAAATATTTACAGGATTAATGAAACGGATGTTTAGTAAGTGTCTACAGGTTATTATTAAGGTATGGGTTACATGTGATGCTTTATCACAAAGCGTCACAACTGGATGCTTCCCAGCAGGAAGTCGGCCATTTTGGATCCAAGCCGCCATTTCCTCTTTTTTAGACGTTGCATCTGATCGAACTCGTTCTACCAGTGGATTAAATACGGAGTTTGTATTTAATCCTGTTGACCACAGGATTCTGCTCTCATGTTTATAACAGAGAAAACTGGATTTCATGGTTTCAGTCTTAAACTGTCAGCTTGGCAATTTCTCCCCACTTACAAGATCCCTTTGGTTCTGGAGCGCCCCAAGGTTCCATATTTGGTCCAGTGTTGTTTTTGTTACATTTATTGAAACACAGCTTTTCTTTTACACTTGAAATAAAACAAAACTAACTTACAAGTGACTTTTCAGGAGGAAATAAGAGCCTGTTTTAAGTCAGTAACTCTTGGATATTGTATTTACTGGCAAATTATTTAACTCATAACAAAACATTTTTCCCATATTATAATAAGATTTGATGAAAGCAAAAAAACAATGAATATTTTGGAGAAGTTGTTGTTTTGGGTAGAGTTAGTTCGATGTGACCTGTGTGTATCCAGTTTATGAATGATTCCTTCACAGAACAGTGAGAATGTAAAAACTAAATTCATCAGCGTATTGGGGTCATTGTAGATACAAAAAAATAAGTAAATTTTTGCTTTAAAAAATTGCATACATTTTCTACAAAAAAAATGTAGAAGTATCTGAGTTAGAAAAGTTATTTTTTTTAACTTCTGAGATTAATCTAAAAAAATTCTGTGTTTTCTTTAAAGCAAATTTTCAACTTTTCAGATTCGAAAATTTCTGAGTTTTTCTGGAATTTTTTTTAGATTAATTTCAAGATTTCTGTTTTTTTTTTCTAGCAACTTCTTGACTTTTCAAATTTAGAAATTTTCTTGTTTTATCTAGAAAATTTCAGAGGTCAGTCTAAAAAAATTCTGATTTTTTTTCTAGGAAATTATCAACTTTTAGATTAATCTTAAAATTTCAGATTATCTTGTTAGAAAATTTACAACTTTTGAAAATCTCAGAAATTTTTCAAAAATTTCTGAGATCAATTTCAAAATTTCAAAGTTTTTAAGTCAAATGTTCAACTTTTCAGACTGAAATTTCCTTTATTTTTCTAGACATTGTTTTAATTTTGATGGAAATTTACTCGTCTTGTTGTATTTCTATCTACAATGGCCCTAATACTTAGAAAACAAATAATAAATATGCTTAACATTTCCTGAAGCCATTTCTTTGTGACTCAGAGAAGTCAGTCAGCTTCGACTTTCTGCTAATGAGGCGACTGCTGGTCTGGCTCTTGCCAAGAATATGAATCATGGCCCCCGGCTCTTTTTCCTTCTGCCTCCATGGGGGAAAATGGATCGGCACAGCAGGAGGCTGAGAAACTTTTGACAATGCGATCAAAGTTGTGTTTTGTCAAATTAAATCAAAGCAGAGCGACTTTATTTTCATCTCTTTCTCTCTAGGTGCGTTTTCAATAACCATAAAATTTCGCAAATTTGAATTACGAAAATAATTTTGCTTCTTGCAAACACGCCAATTTCGAAAAGACGCGATGAAAAGTTTTTGCGCTGCGATGGATGTGGTGTTTTTTCAACAACCGGATGTTACTACTGGCGGAAAAGATGAAGAAGACAATACATTTTTGTTGGTGTTTGTTTTTTAATCAATGTGTATGTATTTATTTAATAAACCGAACATACTAAAATCAACATAAGAGTATAAACCACCCCACACAAATACCCTAAATGAATCTAAAACTTTCATAAAATATCATGGCAGAAAACTAAACTTTCCCCAACAAAATAAAAACAGGGTAATCTTGATAGCATTTTTTTTTAATCCACAATGAGGACTTAATAAAAAAAAACTAATTCTTCCATTGTGTAAAGTAAGGGAACGTTTTACAGAAACATTTATGTAATGTTAATATATATATTTTTAATTAATAAAGTATTTTTGAATTTGAATGAATATGTATTAAGACGACAGGAAGTAGTGGGCGAATTATGTTTTTTAATTATTTATGGCGCTAACAAACTTATTCTCTCCTCATTATAAGACATTTCTGAAACACTACAATTGCAAAATCGCATTAGCCAAATATCAACAAAGTTTAGCGCACCTTTGTAGAAACGCGGCCACTGTTGGCACTTAAACCTCCGCCATTCACAGCTAAATTAAGTTGTGTGTTTTTATCCGGATAATCCAAACCTATTCAGACGGAAAATCAATCTAAAGTGCATTTGATTAGATTACAGGAGGATTCTTGGCTAAAATACGATCTTTAAGAGGAGAAGGCGGCTGTTGTTGGTTAGTCGGAGTTTTTTGCACAGCTTGAGAGACAGCTGACGCAGCTGAAGCCCTGTTTACTTAACATGAAAATGATTAACACACGCACACACACACACACACGCACACACACATCTGGTGAGGCTGACGGATACAAAACTGGAAGCCAGACACACAAATAGCTGGGAAGATGAGGGGAGGGCTCAGCTTGTGGCGGGCGCGCTGAGGTGACAGCCATGGTAATTTCCTGTGGCAGATTTCAGCCTGAGAATGGCGACGTGGGAGAAAACGCTTCATTAGAGCCGCAGAGCTGCTGCAGGAAGCGAGGCACAAACACAGAGCTGGATGCAAGAGGAAGACCGTGTGGAAATACAGAGAAATAACAGCGAAACTTGAATGCTTCACTAAAAAAAACCTACTGAGTGTATGTCTGTAATAGGAACTGTGACTATAATAATAATAGCAATAATAATAATGGAGGAAGTTGGGTTGCGGTCTGAGAGAGGAATTTAAATGATTAATAGGTAAATTTTACCTATTAGGCAAAATTTACATTTTACACGTTTCTGTATCTCCATTTGGCTCTGAACGGCTTCTGAAAGCAGTCCAAAAATAACATCCAGCAGTTTTTTGGTAATAATTTTATGGGGTTTTTTTGTGTCTGCATCTTATCCAAAAATCTTCTAATCAAATGCATTTTACATTGATTTTCTGTCTGAATCAAGTTTGAATTACCCGGAAAAAAATCATACAACTTAATTTAGCTGTGAATAGTGGAGATTTAAGCGCTAACAGTAGCTGCGTAGTAACAAAGAAATATATTTACATAAGCATATTTACAAAGAAAGTTGTTTTTATTGTAAAATCAACATTTACAATAAAATGTTGCATCTTACTGAAACATTTTATTGTCGCAATAATATATATATGGTACTACTCTATGTGAGTTCTTTCAGTAAATGGTCTAAAACTCTTGTCATCAAATCAGTTTTTGCCTGGAAGATGTTTTGCTGCCATCTTGTGGACAGATTGTAGAAGTGCAATCTTTCATGACCTTAAGACTACTTTTAGTGTAGTCTTAAAAACACTACACTAACTATCAGGGCTGTATTTTACTTTCAGCTTGTTTGAAGTTCTGACTTAAAGAGCGTCAGTATATTTTATGAGGCTGAAAATTAAAGTGCTGCTACCAGATATTCTTTTGAATTGGATTTTGTTCTGTAGAAAAACAGTTTTCCCTGAAATCCAACAACAGCGTAGTAATGCCATGGTAGATATGGAAAAATTTAGTAAAATTTCCATCAAAAAACTCTGAAATTTTGAGATTTCCAGAAATTTTCCAGACAAAAAGGAAATGTTGTCTGAGGTTTTTTTTTCCAGGAAAAAAAAATATTTCAAAGATCAAAAATTCAATCAAAAATCTGAGATTAACCTCAGAAAATTTCATTTAAAAGCAAGGACATTTTTGAGCTTTAAAGGTTAAAAAATTTCAGAGAAAAACAATTCCAAAAATTTGAGATTAACCTCAGAAATGTTCAAGAAAAAAGTGGGAATAATAAAAAATAAGATTAATGTCAAAATTTCAGTTTTTACTCGCAAATTTTTGACTTTTGAAACTTAGAAATGTCCTTTTTTGTTTTGTTTTTGTTTTTTTTTGTTTTTTTATTTTCTGAGAAT